TCTCTCTCTCTCTCACACACACACACACACACACACACACACACGCACACACAAAGACAAGGTGTCCAATGTTGCGCCCAAGTCAGAATGGACGATAACAAACTGCAATGGTATTGCCAAAGAAATATCGACTGTCCCAATTGCACAGGCATGGTCAACGCGCCCTGATTATGAATGTATACAAGCTATCTTCCTGGTCCCATACAGTCAGTCATGATGAGAAAAAGTCAGCGGGGGTCTGAAACGCCTGACAACTTTTCCAGGCATAGACAAACCGTGACTGAACAGTAGAAGAAGGCGTTCTCTGAAGGCCTCATCAAACATTTAACTTACCGTCAGGGTTGCCCCGAATAGAGTTTACCCAACTTTACCGTCAATATTATTATAAGCCAAAGTTGGGTCAAATTTCAGTCCAGATACAGCCATAATGACCGTATGGTTCTATTCGGGGGAAAAGACTATACCCATCTCAACGAGTAAGTATCACGTTCCACCAGATAAAGCACACCCTGATCATGAATGTACATAAGCAAACTTTTGATGATGAGTTTTTTTTTGTTTTTTTTTTGGGGGGGGGGGGGGAGGAGGGGGGGGGAGAGGGGGGAAAGCGGGGAGTGAACAAAGCTAGGACGAGTTTTCTTATGATGTATACAAGCGAACTTTCCAGTCCCATACAGTAATGATGAGGGCGCACTTCTCTGCCAATCTTATCTCCGAAGGAGCGCTCTTGTTCATCAGCATGTTTATGGACAGTGCATGGGTGCGCATTCTATTCAGGCGAAGACAGTATGCCTGTTTATCGACAGTGCATGTTGTAAGATTCCCCCACATGGGGGCTGGGCAAAATGCAGTATCCAATCCGATCTCATCAACTTCCAATAATTGCTTGCATTACCATCCTCCCCCTGACAAACGAACGGTCGTTTTAGCTGTATTTGGGGCAAATTTCAGTCTAGATACAACAACGGGGGAACACAGTAGTCACACCAAAATGCAGTATTCAATCCGATCTCGTCAACTTCAAACAGAAAAATGGAAGGCGCCACACAACTTACATCCTTGTAAAGACGTTCGATCTGCTGTGCTTGCTGAAGGACGTGCGTAGAGAAAAGATGCCCGAGGGCAGACACTTCGAGCAGCTTACTCTCTGTCTCCTTCACACTGTCTGCCAGGGAAGAAAGTTCTGCCTGAGGAACATTGAGCACAGATGCACACAGACAGAGACACACAATCATATTTATTTAATCTTATTATGTATAACTGCTTCTCTTCTTCCCTTCTTCTCATTCCAAATATAATGAAATATTTTATTTCTGTTGTTCGCTTTGTGCATTCTCTAGTCCTTTCTTGTGCTTCTTTTCAGTTTCTATTACTTACTGTCTAAGTGAAAGCCTTTTTAAAGTTTAAACCACCAGCTGCGAACCGCCGCACACCAAGCTCTGCCAAGCCAGAGTGGGACCGGTACCAGTAGTCGGAAATGGAAGTGCGGCACTAGTACCATCCTGCCGCTGAATTTCAAGTGGGCCTCGGCATTTCGCAGGCAGACATCCGTTCGAGGGTCCGTACTGCATCGGCGCAGTTGATCATCTTAGATATCTTTTTTTTTTTTAATGATTTACACGGCATGCGGCCACCGTCCTTCTGTGGGCAAACCGTTTCCAACAGCCTGGCAAAACAGCACAGAGGCCACGTGTCCACATCGTCATTGGCGTTGCGAACTGGATTTTCTGTCTGCCGACATCCATACACATGGAGATTTGCGGCCCGGACAGGGTGTACAACACAACATGCGCCATGCGGGCCAGCCACGGCTGTGCGACACAGAAAAAAAAACTAAGAAGAGGCCATGTGTCCACATTGTCATCGGTGTTTCAAACTGGATTTTCTGTCTGCCGACATCCATACAAACGAGGTTTGCAGCCTGGACACGGTGTACGACAAAACATCCGCCACGTGGGCCAACTGCAGCCGTACGGCACAGAAAAATAGCCTAAGAAGTTGCACCTTGTCTGTGTGTGTGATCCCTGGGTGATGACAGGCATTCACCGAAGAGGACTTCCCCGGGCTCCAATGGGGGTGTGAGCTTACGGACCTACAGTCTGCGGAGTTCTACTTCTGGTGTGCGTAGGGGATGCTGTATGAGTGGACGGACTGCCTTGTCGGTGCTGCGCCTTGCTCCCTGGCGTGCGTCCCTTCCGACGGCCTTGCTCATTGTCGCCTTGTCCAAGCCGCCCTACTTCTTGGCAGCCCACTTCCTTGCCCTCTGGGCTGCCTTGCTGCCTGACTGCCCATCCGCTTTGCGCCTCTTCTGTGCCTCTTCTGTGCCTCACTGCCTGCATTGTTGCCTCGCTGTTTTCTTCCCTCGATGGCTTGCTATTGTGATCCTTTGCTGCCTTGCTGTCGGCGGCGCATCATGCTGCCCTGCTGCTTGCCTTGTCATGTGGCTACCCAACCGCCGCGCCCGTGCCCTCCAGGTTTATGCGTTTTGTTGCTGCTCTACGATCTGGTGCCTTCTTGCCTTGCCCTCACCTTCCTGCTTGCACAGCCACCTGCCCGTCCGTCCACTCGCAACAGGGGTTGAAGTAACTTACGACTCAAAGCATCAATATGGGAACTCCATGGACTGTCGAGAGCTCAGCCTCCTGATTGGCCGGTGCACGTCCAATGAAATGGTCTCCTATTGACACTATGGTTTGTTTGTTGTTCTCGTATTTCATGTCCTCTGTGACTCTGTCTCATCGCATAGTTAACCTTTAATTCTTTTTTCAAGTTTTTGTACTTCATATCAAACTGAGGACGAAGTAATGACTTCGTTCATGGGATATCTACTCTTGTTGTTTTTTTTGCTATCCTATTCTTGTATCAATTACTTTTTGTATGCATGTCGCGGACACTTGAGTTCTATGCTAAAAATGGAGCTGGGTTGGGAAGCTTTAGATTGCATCTCTGGGAGTTCATGTTGAGTCTGTTCCCGGAGGGAAACCATGTCTTGGTGTGAAGTTCGGCCACTGAGGATTCGTGTCATCATCCTCATCATCACCCCTCTCTCTCTCTCTCTCTCTCTCTCTCTCTCTCTCTCTCTCTCTCTCTCTCTCTCTCTCTCTC